CTATGTCTTTCATTGACTTAAGGACACTGTAACTCAAAAAAATTTGGAGGAGCCTTATTTCTTACACATATTTTGAATGTTTGTGCAAATTGGTCTTTGCTTCAAGAGTTGAAATTCTTGATTTTTCGAAAGGAAGGCTTTACAGGAAAGGTTCGTGTGAAGACTAAAGAAAGTTGTAACGTAAATTACTATCGTAAGGCCTCACAAAATCATTCGGATTCTTTCACATGTACACAGAATATATCCTGTAACTTTTGGGGGTTGCTGTTCGAATCTACGCCTTTCTTCGCGGTTGCAAGTATTTTCTTTAGTTATTTATCTACTTTTTTTCATATTTACTGTCCGCATCTGATTGTTTCTTTTGGACGTTCAACAATAAATGAGAACAGACTCGCTTACTATACATTCACCTGGAGCTAGAGAGCGATAATTGTCTTAGTTCTCTTTATCAGTCTCTTATCAGTCTAGTCCAAGATTTAGTTGTACAATCTAATTACTTGTATTAATTGAATTCAATAAATAGCTTTGTTGGCGATAGAGTTACTTCTAGTTTACGCCAAGAAGTTAAGCTTTTACAGATAAATATCTCTGAATTCCTCGTCTGTGTTTTGAAAGAATATAGTCGGGAAAGACTGATTACGGGATTTCCGTTTTTCTTTTTTAATTTTGGCTTGAAAGTTGGAAAGTATCAGATAGCACCAGCGAAAGTAATGAAGCTTCCAAAAATCAACATATGTGCGCTCCTCAGGAAGTGTTTGAGGAGAAAAAAGAAAAAATGAATTAAACGAAACGAAGTGATTTAGTCATGCTAAAACGTATAAGTTAGCGAGGTTCGAATGGTAAATTACTTTTAAAAAGTGCGCCACCCGTTTTCTCGTCCACTGAAAGTACTTAATTTTTGACAAACCTCAAATTGTTTTTAGCCTCATTAGTCAGCGACCTTTGGAATCAAAAATTAATCCCAGTGATGATATCTTTAAAACTGAAAGATGAACCGTGAAAGATTTCCATTAGACGGTTTTCCAGAAATAAACAATCTTCGCTGGTGGGAAAATAGAATTAAGCTGGAATTCGATGAAGAAAGGAAATACCTTTATGTGATTATACTAGATAGAAACAAGATTTCTTTGTCACTATGAGGACGTCGTAAATGCTGCCAGCTAAAAGTCGAAGAACCGTTCTATTTTTAAAACGTTGTTCCATTTTTGATTTCCATTGACCTCTGTTGCCTTACACGGTCAAGGCGTAAATATTAATGCCTCTTCGTGGATTTAATGACATCTACATGTACTATATATCCGTTTACGGTATTCCTTTGGAATCTGATGAATGTTGACAAAACGTTTAAGTCCATGCAGTAATAAGCACTCTAATGTGGTCATATGTCTGATCAGGAGTGAACCTTTACCAGTGAAACGAACAATAACCCCATGAACAGTTTGTAAAGGGAATTAAAAAACCCACGTTTTCCGATGACTATCAAAGGTCTCTGTTAGGACTCTCCATTTCGTGACGGTTTTGGCTCTAAAAGGCTACGCTGTAATCGTTTTTCGCGAAGGAATAAAACACATCTTGGAATGAGAAAGATGGGAATGAAATAAAAATGTTTTTTTTGCGGCTAGTCACGAGTGTGGTCAAAGGAGAACATTCTGAGTCCTCATGAGGAATCGAACCTCAGATCTTAGGATTCCGCGCTTTGATGCGGAGTCCAAAGGTCTGAGGTCTTAATTCTATCGGCTCACACGAAGTTTCCGACAATGTTGATCGGAACAGTATGCGACAAGCCTGCCACATATGAACTTTATTAAGGCCTGGCTCATCACTGAGTCGCTGTGACTTAGTGTAAAGAGCAGTGGGAGCGCGGAATGCGACAGGTTGAGATTTGATGCCCCATAAACACACCTTTTTATACTACTAATCAAAACAAGAACCTACTGATTGCGGCCTTCTAATTACAGAATTAACTAGGCATTGAAAGATTTCCACGCTGATGGCTCTTTATTGTAAATCCCTAATAAAGATAACAACAGAGCTCACAATTGTTATCTATCCAGTCATTTGACCACACCCACCATAACACCGACCACCCCTTTATTGCCGCCGCTGTTTTCATAGTTTTCTTAATATAGTCGTATTGGCGACTGACTCTCAGAGCAACGGAAAATGGTGAAGTGAATTCTGTAGTGCCAAGGTTAATAGGGTTTGCAAAATAGGAAAATATCTTAAATAAAGGCAAGCAGTCTCCCTCCCTTGTGCAAACAGACGATAACAGCAGGCAAACAAATTAAGAGGCAGTCATTATTTATCATCTGAAAGATGGCGGGAAGGGGGGGGGTTGTCCGGGGGAACTTGAGTATGGATCAGATGGTTTCCAGGGGGAATGATTGGTGGTCAGTCGTCGCTAAAAGTGTTTAAGGGGGAACTATAGAATTGACGGCCAATGAGGCGGGATCATTGGAAGCCTTGTTAGGGGATTAGGTAAATGTTGCTGTGACATAGCCAAAATCCTCCGAACTCGTACGTACACCCCCTGCAATAAACAACGACTGGTCCCTAGGGGTTTGGGGGCCATTTTACCATAACCTAAAGGGGCTCATTTGACGTTATCGTTCCTACAGCAACACCGTACACAAAACTGCTACCACAACAGCCTCCATTTCGTGACCCAGATGATTTTTCATAAGATATTGCTCACTAACAGAAATAGAACACACATCATTCAGTGACCACATTAGGTGTCTCCCTCAAATATGTAGGGTTTTTTGCTCAAGTTCCGTCGGAAACCAAAATGGAAGACGACAGTGAAATTCTAAATCGGCTACGCAAGTTTCAATATTCCATCAATTTTACTGTAAAATATCGGAACTAGTCGAAAACATTGTTGCGTGTGCTTCTGTAAGCACAATGTTCCGTTTTTGAAATTGATGATCACCACACCTAAGAGCCACTTTTCGAAGAATTTTTACAAATGGTCTCCCAAATAGGGTCTAGATTTGCAATTAAAAAAATTACCCAAAAGTTCCGGCTAAATTAATTCGCTTTTTTTTTTAATGGAAATTAGTCAGCACTTATATTGTGAACAAGGCGCAAGACATGCACAGGAAGGGAATTCTAAAGGAAGGCCAAGGAGACATTAAGATTTCACCTCTATACTCACCATAAATATAAACACATATGACCTATGCCCCTCAGATTTTACCAGTCAAAAACCCAACTGTTTTGATTGATTGGTCCTTACGCTAAAGAGGCTTCTGTGGTTTGAATTAGCTTTTTTTTTTTTACGTTCGTGGTCTTTGCGCTCTTCTCAGTATTGGTAATGCTAAGTTCGAGTTTGTTGTTCTCGTAACTAAGTAGGTCCATAAATACTGTATATTTCAAGATTTTACAAGTGCATGTTTGAGGTAAACTAATGTTAACAAGTTTACTGTCGAGGCTTAGAATAAGATCTAACAGAAAATTTATTAATTGTGATGATGTGATGATAAACAAATGAGCAATAAAGGTAATAAGCGGCATAATTACTCTAATAAACTCTTAATGGTGCGTAATTGTTTCTCATTTTTTTTTCTGGTAACAGTCGATAGAGTTTCAGAGAATCACTCCAGTTCAGCGACTTAGCCAAAAGAGCCTTCTAGTCTTTGAGTTCCGTCATAAACTTACTGCAGATTACCTCACAAACCCACTAATGATGTGACAAAACCACATCTAGAGGGTGATTTTTTTTTTAATTTAAAAGACTGCGGTTGTTCAATAGAAGTTACTTAAAACAAGGGCACTATCCATCATTGACAATCCATCAATATATCAGCTTATATTCGGCAGCGGCTAAAAGGGATACCCTATTCTATTCCTCTTCAATAGAACAATAGCCGACGATGCGATTATGAATAAATCCATTGAAAAGACACGCTAGCGGCAATAAAGAAAGTAAACAAAAGCTTAGCAAGATTGTAAAAAATGTTACATCAAACATCAGGCCATTTTGCAAGAATAATCTCTAAAATGAAAAGAAAAGCCTTTTTTCAGTTGAAAATTGGAATAACAGCTTGCGTCATGCACTTAAATGGTCTCTTTTGGACCTCTGGGTATTAATCATAAACAAACAATATTAACACCACAAAGGCATGCGAAAGGACGGCACGAAAGCGATCGGGGATAATTTCCCGCCGCGGCTATATAAACAGAATCTTTTTATTTAAGATCAAAGAGGTTACCGATCTTTGCTGTAGTCGAAATTATATAATGAACGAATCTTAAACAAACAAGAACCATTGCAACGTGGCTACAACAGCAAACCTATCAAAAAATGTGAAGGGAAAAAGTCAGAAAAAAAGCACCAGAAACACTCGTGACGCTTGAGCGCATTTTAAATAAAGGGGCTGTCGAGTCGATTGTTTGCCAGAATTGAGGTATTTTGTGTTTTGTTTCGCCACCTGCCGTCATCGAAGGGAAACGAATCGGTGAATAACTTGAATATAGAACAAGTACAGTTGATCACGCCCTTACTTTAATTGTCTGCAACGGAAAACAGCCGCTCGGCAGCGACTGAATCAAGTCATGGTGGTATTAAAATATAAAAGCTTAACGGACTACGCCAACATACCGCACGCGGAAAAATCTCTATGAAAAACTTAGTTCGAACTAATGAGGCGTTGACTATCCGATTTAACAAATGGTTTTCCTTTTGGCACCTAGGTAAAAGATTAAAGAAAAAATATAAACTACAATCATTTAACCGGCTAAGAAAATAAACTTAGTCGCTGTAATTTCACTGTAGCTGGAGAAATTTCTCGCCAGCTGGTAATAAAAGCCACATAGACTCTACGACTGTGAGTGTGATCGCCTTGTTGGTTAACGATTAAACCTGAGATGTTTTGCCTTTGTTTGGCCTCACCTGTGCTAAGCTCAAAAGAACTTATCACTGCAATAGCCTTGGGATTTTTAACATTACTCTGAATTTCGGATGAAGAGAAAAGTTTTCCCCAACACTTAAAACATACCTTTCTTCAGCATGATTCCACGAAATGAACGAGTTCTCGATGGATTCGAGAAGAATGGCTTTAAATGACTGACATCCAGGCCATCCTTGCGAATTGAAATGGCCTCTTTATGATTATTCAAGCCAGAGGAAGTCCCTTGTTGTAAAAAAGAAGCAATTTGTGAGTTTTCATTTTTCTTGAGGGCTAACAAGTTCCTCAGAAAAAGAAAAAGAGAACTGAGCTGCTTTTCAATCGAACCGGGACCGGATTTGTCAGTTTTCAGAAGCACGAGTACTGTACGATGAGGTTTTATTGTTTCACCTTCCCTTTCACCTGATGGCCATTTGTACACTTTTACGCTTTTGCCATTTAGCTGGCTAAGGATACAACGTGTTTATCATTCTGCATTGTCAAGTTAATTCCACCCGGATTCATTAGCCAGTAAAAAGGGACACTTGTACTCCCCGGAGATAGAGAAATTTTGTTTATCGAAAGAATTCTGTGATCTCCTATTGGCCAAGAACGAGTATTCTTTCAAATGGTCATGTGTTCCTTTGTTTGACGCACGATGTCGTATGTCGAAACACCTTTTGTGCCTCTAGAAAGCAACTTTAAGTCTTTTCTCTTTATTTGAAACAACCGAAAAAGATTCTCTCGATCTAAAGAAGAATACAGATTTCAATAAATGACCATCCCCTCACCTATGTAATTCAATCATTTCCGTTCCCCGGGCTAAACTCTCTAAATTTTTTTTAATAAAGGAGCATGATCGGGAATGACAATATAATAAGACAGGTCATACCTTGAGATGGTGAAAAGACCACCTAGTTTCCACTGTAGAAATAGAATCACATTACGTCAATATCTGAGACAACCGGGAACACATGAATTGAGACCGGCGGAAATTAGTTCCTAGAACAAAGTATAACAAAAAGTTTATTGATCTTGTTAATTGATAACAGTCCATTTCAATTTTTTAGCCACACAGAGAATAGATTGCTCCTATTATTTCATGTACAATCGTTTTGCAGCATTCTAACGTGATTTCTGCATTCTAAGGGTGCAGACGTTCGGCCGATCACTTAAGTGTCTTTCACAGTTGTTTTTACGGGTGGATCAAGATTAACAGAGCGAAGCACGTGTATGAGTTTTTTTTTTTTCTTTTCTATTTTTGAGTTCGGAATCCAAAACACGTAGTTCGTGACAAACATGTCACCAGTAATAATGTGGCAGTTAAACCACACGTGGCTTAAAGTCAGCTTACTTTAGGATGTAAGTCACATGAATATATTTAGGAGACTCCTTTTATTCTGCAAAATTGGCATTTTAAAGTTGAGTAATCATGCAGATGAAATTCGCGGTCACGCCGTACCTCAAATATGACAAATTAGAAAAGAGTCAATTTCGGTTACCGTTGCAACGTGAAATGTTTTTTGTTTCTTTTTATGGGTGATATTGCAGGAATATTGGATTGTGTAATCGATTTTATCATTTCATTTCTATGATGATTCTCATCGAAAAAATATCAGAGATATATTAAAAGATAGGATATGGTGTGGTCTCCGTTGAAGCAAATAATAAAAAACTTTTCCTAGAGCGGTTGTAAGACTACTCCACTTGTTTATTACATTTTGTGCAATCGCAATACATTTGTTCATTTTTTTGTCTATTTATATTTAAGATCTCGCTTTGAACAAGCCCAAGCATGTATTTACATTGTGTTACTACAATAGACTTCAAACCAGCGCAGTTTTATCTAAACTTTATTGTTCCACATCGCAGCATCATTCAATTTTATAAACTTGCCAAGATCTTAATGTCAATATTGTTTTGGACACTAGAATATCGTTTGACTCTTTGTTTGCTTTTGGAGTCATGTTAGTTTGCCTTATTCGGTTTTTACTCTCAGCGACACAGAGGTTAAGTTAGTTTTCTTCCTTTTTTTCTGCGTTCTGCATCCTGCGAAAAATGCTTCTGTCAGCCGACATTTATCACTTGTGCCAAAGTGTAATGAGTACATTGTCATTTTTATTTCACTTTTCACTACCAACTCATCAATCAAAGGAATATAAACCGGAAAAAAGGTCTATGTCTGCTTAGGACATATCCACCGCTACGCCAGATTTGTTTGGGGATGTTTTAGTTTTTTATTTAGCGACATTGTTGCGTCTACCTCAGCGAGCACTGTGCTAACAATGACAGGTCTGAGGTTTTGTCGAACAAAATTGAACGAAATATTCCAGTAACCAGAGGAAAAACTTGAATCCTTCTTTCATTTGCATAGTTTGTAATCGACAATTTTTAGTTTACTCGAAACTGCACTATTTTGAACTTGAGAGATATTCGCACTTTTAATGTTTATCTTTGAAACGAAAGTTCAATTTTTCATTCTTGGCCTTCCGGGGCGACGATGAAAGATAACTTTTCCTTTCCACTTTTCATCTTATCTGAAAGCCGTGGGAAAATTTCCGCTTTGGATATATTATAAGTTGCTATGGAAACACTGTCACAGACACTTAACAAAGAGAGATAACAAAAACGTAATTGTTTTTTTAGATTCAAAAACAATCACAAAGTGAAGAAGGACTTGCATTTGAAATGGGTTCTTTTTTAGTACTGGGTAATGTTGGACTTCTCTTGGACTCGAAGAGTATAGAGAATTATTGTCTAGTTCGTTCTTCATCAAAGGCCCTTAAAGTGTTGACGATATTGCCTCGATCAGAATATTTTGTTTATTACCCTAAATGTAATCTTCACTATTAGCTTTTATGCAAATTAAACCAACAAGTAGTGAAAATGCAGTTAAATTTATTGAGTCGACACATCGTTAGACTTGAATAAGAAGTGATTTACGCTTCCACTTCCAAATCGGGTTTCTTTCCCACGTTTAGTAATCGTTATTGAAGTGAAAAGGGACTGGAGGGGCAGGTACAGTTCGTTGCACAGATAACGCAAGCTGATGTGATAATTGGGCAGTAAATCAATTAGATGACCCTGAGACGACACCCGAAATCACTACTACTCTAGGCAAATGAAAGGAAGTGCCATGTCATTGGTCAAGCGGCGATGGCGCTCTACGATTGGCCAGCTGCACCACAAAGGAAAGAGCGCGACGCGCTTGTCAACTGTAGTGGAAATCAGTGGCTCATTGAATATGCAAATTACTCAGTGGGTGCCCACTAGGGAGTTGAACGTACTGAAACCCTATCGTCAGTACTGCGATCGATTCGTGGGAGAATACTGTGCTTTTCACGGTTTGATGTTTGAGTCTACCGATGAAGCGCAAAAGTTGATCAAATTTGTCAGTAATTGAACGCCAAGTTCGCAATGAAGGGCTACGTAATAGCGATTGTCTCTGCCCTGTTCATTCCGATAGTGTTGGGTAAGTTGAAAAGTTATTTTCCCGAAGTGCGTGCTTTGGGGCCATATTATTAACCGTCGGATGCCACTGTTGGATAAATGGCGTTTAAGATCTATCATTGGAACTGTGGTTCGCTTGGGCGGATTTCACTACATTGGTTTGGGAAACTCACATTCGATTCGGGAAGAATCTTTCCTATGTGCTGTGTACGGAAGGAATCTAACGAGTAGAACTGATTTAAGAGACGGTTGGTTTCAATATTCGTGGGGCGCTTACTTCATTAAGATGTCCAAACTGCAAGCTATATTTACACCCCTCTTAGATAATTGCGTTCACCATATCTTAACCCTAAACATAGAAAGCTGCCATAGATTGAAAGCTTAACTAGAAATTTGCAAAATGATAGAGTTTGAGAGCCTAGTTCGTCTGACAGAACACCGGCAAGCGCTGTTTTGGCACTCAATGAAAATTAGGTTAATCTTTTATTGAGGATGACGGCCCCTGTGGAATTTGTCCGCAGAATTAAGTTTCGTAAATATGTGACTATAAAGTGCTGGCTGAGATTGATGAAAGCTGTTCAGTTTGCTAGTAGGGATGTGCATAACGAGCGAGTTTACACGGCGGAACAGCTGTCCTTGTTTCACCTTGTAACATTCAATCGTATTGTTCTAAGTTCCACCTGGCTTTTCTCTGCTCAACTCCGGTCTTTGTTTGTCTCTTGCAGCCTCCACGTGTTATGACGGATATTGCCAGAACGGTGGAACATGTTCAGTTTTACAGGGGATAGCTAATTGCAGGTATGTTCTTTTCACTCATTCAACATGTCGCGTCAAAGTACGGCGGTTCGGTTTTTCAATCGTTATTGTGTTCCGCACGTGAATTCTTGCCTGCGTAGTTTCCGCGCTAGTTATCAGAGTAATGTTTGTTTAGTAAGACATAAATTCATGTCTCGTAATCTCTCCGAAAGCTTATTGCACGCTTAGTCAACTTTTCACAACAGCCGTTTTTTAATTTCGTCGTAGTTTGTGTCTAGTCAAAACGAATCCCTCGCGCGTTCAACACCTAAAGAACAGCACGGCATTCAGATTGGTAAATAATGGCACATAAACCACAAGCCTCCGCGCCACAGACTTAATTGGCTTATTCTTCTTTCAGAACGAAATTCACTTTACTTCTGTGAAAAACCGCTAGACATATCAATAGAAACACTTAATGGAGTTTGTATGGCGTGAAGCTAGCTGATCATAAATTTCCTTGGCATAATCAATAATTCTGAGAGCTAGCAACGGTAGCGACACATGTTTTGTGGGTATTCTTAAACAGTCACTGGCAGCAAACACTATGAATTATTGAGAAAGCTTAAGCAGATGTTTTTATTCAACATAAAATTGTCCTGAATAAACGGTTTTTTAAGTGTAATAAATGAGTCAGTGTATATGAAATTGGTGATGAAAAGTTCATTCGGATACATGTGACAGTCTGTTCACTTGCGCCGAAGTGCGAATACTAAAATGTTTTTACTTCATAGCGTCGACACGTTTTCTAAAGCTTGACCTAATTAGTAGGGCTTTTATGTTGATGAACTCTCGAGACTCCTGCTTATCTGCTAAAAGCTAGTTAAAACATAGAGTAAAAACCGATTGCGATCGCACGCTAGCCGATTTTTCAAATGCTACTAGTGGATTTGTTGTTCTGCTTAAGTTGACAGCGTATTTGCGTGTTGAGTAAGGTTTTATTGTGTAAAATGAACCAATTCTACCTTTAACCCAGATTTATAATTTGAGCATAAAATAGTCTCCGTAGGGATTAAGTCTTGAGTAAAAGGGCTCCAAAGATTAGTGAGCTCAAAATAGTTGTTTTGCACGAATCTTGTAAGCGCGCACGCAGTGAAGTCGGATAATTATTCAAAAGATTTTGGCTATTTGGCTGCCTGAGTAGATAGTGAACACACGACCCCGACCCGCGTATCAATTTAGAACAAAGCGCAAACTTCTTGTAAAAGGATACTGGAAACTTGAAACTATATTTCCCGCGTCCTTTAACAGAGTTTCATCCGTCTTTCGTCACTCTATTATTTGTATCGCTTGGTAATTAGTTCGTATTTGGTAGACGACATACTG